ATCCCACGCTCTTCGTCGCTCTAATTTTAAATTTTTTGGTTTGCAAAAGGGCAGATCATAAAAGTCATATTTTTCTAATTTGTTCGTTAAAGAAAAAATCGCGTCAGCATACACTGGCACAAGATCACCCCTTTTATATTTTCTTTTTGCATCGGACACACCACATGAAATCAACAAGAGGCCAAAGAATGTGATCGTCAGATGGAATCCCCTAAACATAGCTCTAGAAGATGTATATTCTATACGCAGAGAAGAAAGAAAAGGAAAAGGGGGAAAAAATCAATTTTGAATTGATAAAATAAGATTTCACGTCAGAGAGATATATCACGATAAAGCAGTGAATAAAAGATGCGAAAAATCAACAAGTTCACGTACCAAATGTCAACCGTTCAAATACATCTTCTTACCAACGATCAGCCTTACAAACAGCATCAAGTGGAGCTGCTGCGCTTTTGCCATCGCGTTTTTTCCGCCACCACAGCGTCGCATAAGAAGGTGCCGGAACGCCAATGGGTTTAAAGGGCATCCTTCCCACCATTCCACTGACACTCATAAAGCGGAACAAAGAGAGTTGGTCGCAGCGAGGGCAGTGATCATGACGCAGCGTCAGCTTCCGAGAGTAACTATTAGAAACAAGAAACTCATACATATATCCGCATCTTACACAAGAAAACACGGCCATACTACGCTATAATAAATGCTATTTGTATTTCCTTCTTTTTTCTTGCTGTAATTTTGCGCGTGCTTTTCCCTGTTATGGAGACACTCGAAATGGGATGGCACTAGGGGAAAAAAGAAAGAAGAAGAAAGGCAACACCTCACAACAGCCGGCCGTCGCCTTGCCCCGCGAACAGCGACCCCGCGCTATTCGGCACTAAAAAAAAAGAGAGAAAAGGAAGAAAAAAAATAAATAAATAAAACGCGGCGCCCCCACACCAACGCGGAAGACCAGAAACGGGCCCGCGCCGCGCCCGCGCCCGCGCCCGCGCCCGCGCCCGGCCGGCGCCCGGATGAAAAGCCGCGTGGCACGCGGGGCCCGCCGCGGCCCGGGTCGGAGGGACGGCAAACAAAAGAACCGCAGAACACGCCCCGTTGCCGCGCGGGCGTCGGGGAAAAAGGAGGGCGAAGGGCCGGGCGCCGGTCGGGCGCGGCGGGACCGGGCGGGGGCGACGGGCGTGAGCAACGTGGTCTGGGGGTTCTCTCTCTCTTTTTTTTTTCCCCCGCGGCGTCCTTGGGCCAACTGGCGGGGAGAATTTCCCCGAACTTCCAAGGCAAATGCCGGGGACGAGAAAAAAGAAAGGGCTGATATTTCACGTGTGTGTGTTTATAGTTTTCTTCTTTCTCGTTGCGCGCGTCCGTCTATGAAGTAGCGCTACACTATTGTGATTTTTTTTGCTTCAACACTACGGAAGCGAAGCCGACTCTAACTTTGAGAACCGCCTGTTTAGCCAGTGCCGTGCTTACTTACTCCTTGCTACATTTTTTTTCTTCATCTTGAAACTGTTGTGCTATTGTTTTTATTCCCTAATGATTTTTTTCCCCTATTTCTACCTCAGATATAAGCACAAGAACAAAAGAAAAAGATAAAGAAAGGCAGTTCCTACTTGGCTACACTTTTGCCAGCGTTATTTATTTTACCATTAAAGAAAACAGAAAAGGTATATGTTTATATACTGAGAGGAAAAAGTGCTAGTTGGGAGGCAACCGCAAGGAAGAACGAGTATTACGCAGCTGCATCGTCATCAATCGCTGATGTTGCCAAAGATTACAGCGCATAGGAAACACCCCTTTTCAACAGGCAGTCCAAAGAGAGATATTGACTTGCCGGGCCCGAAGCATATGAATAATGTTCTATTCACCAAATCAGACTTCTATCGTCGTGATAGACGTGAATTAGCACGTGTTCCAACCCTTGGTGAAAGCGAAATTTGCAGCCGCGGCAATGAAAGTGTGATGTCCTCTCAGTTCTTGCCAATATTGCGCCTATTGAAAGCAAGCACAACTGCTATAAGTGACGAGGATCTGAAGGAGATTGCTAATAATCGCAGTTTGCAGAAAATTTTTCTGCAAGATTGCAAGAACCTAACAGATGTAGGTGCATTTTCTTCCACTCTCACGCTCGAGGAAATGCATCTTCGTGGGTGTTCGAAGTTGGTTTCAATTGGTGATATTGGGCAATTACCTCTACTATGGCTACTGGATTTAAGTAAGACGTCTGTGACAGATAATGATCTGAAGAGTCTTTCTGGAAGCAAAAGTTTGCTGAAAATTTTTCTTGAAGACTGTAAAAATCTGACTGCGATAGACTTTCTCTCGTCTATCACGTCTATTGAGGAAATTTCCATACGTGGGTGTCATAAAGTCAAGCATATTGGTAGTTTGGGATTGCTTTCAGCATTGCATACACTTGATGTAAGTAAGATATCAATAAACAATTCAGGGCTGCTTGGGCTTGGTGCGAGCCGTAGTCTGGAGAAGATTTTCCTGGAGAACTGCAAGCAACTTTCAAATGTAAGTACATTCTCTTCTATACGGTCACTCAGGGAAATTTACCTCAGCAGATGCGTGCGGTTGACAAGCGTTGATACCTTGGGCACGCTTCCCGCCCTTTGTGTGCTTGATGCAAGTAAGACTTCATTGACGGATGAAGGCCTGGAAGGCCTTTCTGCAAGTCGGAGTCTGGAGAAGATTATTCTCGAAGACTGTGTTTGCTTAGCCTGCGTTTCTGCTCTCTCCTACATTATAAGCCTAAAGGAAATTTACCTTTCTGGATGTACTCTTATATCAGAGATTGGCGTTTTGGGTTTGCTTCCAGCTCTTTGTGTGCTTGATGCAAGTAAGACTTCATTGACGGATGAAGGCCTGGAAGGCCTTTCTGCAAGTCGGAGTCTGGAGAAGATTATTCTCGAAGACTGTGTTTGCTTAACCTGTGTTTCTGAACTTTCTTCTGTGATGTCATTAAAAGAGCTACGACTACGCGGATGTAATAGATTGACAATTGTTTCTGGCCTTGGTTTACTTCCTGACTTGTGCGCACTTGATCTAAGCATGACTGCTGTAACAGGAGTTAGCCTACGAGGTTTGGGGGAATCTCCCAGTCTGTCAAAATTATTCCTCGAAAATTGCTTGAATTTGACATCCGTGCAATCCCTCTCCACCGTTTTGGCACTAGAAGAAATTTACCTCCGCGGGTGTGTTAGGGTGAGTGATGTGGGCGCTCTGGGCGCGCTACCTGTGTTGCAACTGCTTGATGTAAGTAAAACCTCTGTGACAGACGAAGGGTTAGATGGTTTGTCTGCTAGCCTTACCTTGAAGCGAATCCTTCTCGAAGACTGCGCGAAACTCACCACAGTAGCTTCTTTGACCTATGTTCATACGATTGAGGAGATGAATGTTTGCGGTTGTTCAGGGGTAACAAGTTTCATCTGAACTCCATGAAGACCGAATGCTTTGGGGTTTTAGGTACTCGAGTACAGCGTCTGACGCGCGAATTGCTGCCTCGTAAGTTGCTCTGAAACTTCTTATCCCTACAGTTTTTCTCTTTTTGTTTTGTTTTTCATTTTCAAAAGAAATGTTTTGGCTTTAATGTGTGTGTTTTTTCTTTTTCTGCCCCATTTTTATTTTGTGCTGTATTATTATTATTTTTACTCGGTTTGCTTTCCGTTTTAAGAGGTTGGCGCGTTAGATGCGTGTACCCACGTGGGGGCACCGAAAGCGCCACGGCGTATTACCGGTTGCATCGGCTCGCGCGTGTTGTTGTTTGTCTTTTTTTTTTCCATGCATGCTGAGTCACACTGGCTGGGATGAAAAGAGTGGTGGTGGATTTAAGAGCCAAGGAGTCGTACGCGGCGGGCCACGTTGAGGGGGCGTTTAGTTTCCCCTGGGAGGATATTCGGGTCGACTCGTGTGGATTGCCGCCGCGCGACGTGGAACTCACAGCGATCTGCGACGATGCCATTGATTTGGATCGAGTCGGGGAGTACTTGAATCGGTTTCGCTTCGCGTCCTTGGAGGTGCGGCGGCTACGCGTCACCGAAACGCTTGTGCGGGAGGTGCCGCAGGGAATGTGCTGGTCGCCAAACCCATTTCTTTCCGAGGCGCTGCCGGGGATCGAGGCGGCCAACGGCGGTCCCTCCTTCGCGCTGGACGTGGGCTCCGGAACGGGGAGGGACATGGTTTACCTGGCGACCCGGGGGTGGAGCGTCGCCGGCATTGAGAACAGAGCCCGGCTGATTGAGCAGGGCGTCGCTCTGAGTAAAAAACACGGCGTGGGCGGGCGCGTGCTATATTTACACTGTGATTTAAAGAAAAAGTTTCCTATCAGATCTGAAGGCCCAGATCTCTTACACGTGTGCCGCTTTTTGCACCGGCCGTCCTTGATGATGCTGCTTCGGCTTCCCCGCCGCGGCGGTTTCCTCGTATACAGCCACTTCTTGGACGGCTGTCAGGCAACCGACGCGGGGCACCCGTCAACGATCAACGGTTTTTTTCTTCGAGGAGAGCTGCGCCAGGCGCTTTTGGGTGCTGGGTACTCCGTCCTCCTCGAACGGGAGACGGAGCTGCCTGACAAGCGGCCCTTTGTGCATGTTCTCGCTCGGCGCGCGGTGTAGCTGCTCGTTTTTTCCCGGCGCTCCCGCGGGAAGGGCCGCAGAGCAACCAAGCGGCACCAGCCGGGCGCGATAAACCGTCCCATTCCCCCGACCCCCCTCAAACGCCGCGGAGGGACGCCGAGACGCGGGCGCCGCCGTGCCCTCCACTGTTTTCCTTCTTTTTTTTTTCTCCCAGGCGCCGTCGTAGAGCACACCCGTCCCCGCCGAACGGATTGCGAAAAGGAGCCCCGGCCCCCGACGACGAGGGCGCGGCAGAGGGGGCCCTCGTATAGCCTGTCGCCCCGCGCGGTGGGGCATCATTGCCATCCCCCGCGGCGCTCACAGGGCCGGCGAGACACGCGGCGGCGGGTGGGGCCGCGCGCCTGCCGCAGCCACGAAAACCGCGTGCTGGAAACCGGAATCCGGCATCTGGCGGCCCCGCGTGGCCGCCGTCGTCGCGGAAACGGCAAGTTCCGGCGCCCGCCCCGCAAACGGCTTCTTCCCGGGGCCCTGGCGCCACACGCGGGCGTTCCGCCGGCTCCTCGCTCCCCCGGGCGCTCTTTCACCGGGCGGGCAGGGGCGCACCCGCCGACGAAGAAACCGACCTCGGTGGCGGGGCCGCGATTGGGGGGGGGCGCGGTCGCCCGCCGGCGCGTGGTCGTTGGCCCGGACCTTCGCCGA